CCTCCACAATCCACGGGTCAATTGCTTTACTACTAGTTGTTTCACGAATTATCTTCCTGAGTACATGCAACAATCTTATGGTCTCGCGGCTACCAGCAATTTACAGTGTGAAGTCAAATGGATGGCGGTTTATTGCAGGCAAAGTCGGCAAAGGTTTCAGTGTGGCAGATCGCCAACCAGTGGAGAGTTTCTCTTTAAGTAAATGGGATTCATTTTAAATATCGCTGTTTCCACAATGATAGATATAGACGGACGGACTACCTCATATCTTTTTACGTAGCTACTGTACGGCGAAAGCTGGTTGATGACGAAACCCCAGGTGTAGTCATATTTCAGCTAGACGGCGGAGTAGGTGTGCCAACCCAGACTAGCCACTCTGAATCACAGACGCCACTGGGTCTAATTGCCCGGGTTGAAGAGCCGTTACCTACATTTTTGCCCTGGAGGGCGTAGCACTTGATTCGGTCTCCATTCGACGGCTGCTTTGCAAATATTGGTTGAAACCCGCCCCCTTTTCACTTATAAATCTCTCGTGTTGCTTGCCCCTTCCTTTCTTTTCTACCACCTCCAATATGGTATTCTGCTCGCTGCAGCGACCACCTTCAGAAATGATTTCGCGTGAAGGTGCCAAGTACCGCATCCGACGCAAGCTACGGAGCGGTCATTTCGGCGACATCTACCTAGGTAGGCCCATAGACTCTATTATCATGATAATTAGCGAGCTCGCAGCTAATCATCAATAAATTGGCTTAAGGCACCAACAACATTTCGGGCGAAGAAGTTGCCATCAAGCTCGAAAGCGTCAAAGCTGAACACCATCAGCTGGAATATGAAGCCCGTGTCTACAAGTCACTGGCCGGCGGTGTTGGTATCCCTTTCGTACGCTGGTTCGGTACCGAATGTGACTACAATGCCATGGTTATCGACCTTCTCGGCCCTAGTTTGGAGGATCTATTCAACATCTGCAATCGCAAATATTCCCTAAAGACTGTCTTGCTACTCGCCGATCAGCTCATCACTCGTATCGAGTACATTCACGCCAAGTCTTTCATCCACCGTGATATCAAGCCCGACAACGTCCTCATGGGACTTGGAAAACGGGGCAACCAGGTCAACATTRTTGACTTTGGTCTGGCAAAGAGATACCGCGACCCACAGACTCACGTTCACATCCCTTACCGTGAGAACAAAAGCTTCACTGGTACTGCCTGTTATGCTAGTATCAACACTCACTTGGGAGTCGAGCAGTCTCGCCGCGATGACATGGAATCGCTAGGCTAC